TTAGATTACAAGACTTTAGGATGATGCCCTTTGATAATGCTCTTATCATCTGGTCCCTGGACAGCAGCTCTGCCTGTGGGGCCTACACCCCCAGGAGTCTATGGGAAGGGGCCATGCCTCTGGCCTGTTGGTGTCAAGGTACCTTTTTCTTCAAGAATAAATGTACCTCGTGGTCAAATAGTCCCACAGAATTCCAAAAGTCTATCAGCCTTTGGATAGGCCTTCAATAGGCCAAGATTGGAAAATCTGAGTTTTTCCAAATCTTTCATTCCTTTTTCTTCTGTATTTTAATGGAAAAACAGCAAAGAGAAACCAGGTCATGCCTTAAATACTGCCCAGAAATCTCAGCTACATGTCCAAGCTTGTTACTTAAACACCCTACTTCCCACAAAATTCGGAAGCTCTTTGCCACTCCGTAACTAGGATTCCTTCTCCTCCAGTTTCTAACACTTCATCCATCAGCCTGAGGCCTTAACAGAAGCAGCTCTAACCTGCATATCCCGGCAACATTTACACCTCTGAGGTAACATGTGCTTTCTCTACAGCACTCCCCCCTTTTTTTTTCTGAGCCCAGACCAGACCATCTTCAAGGTCCCTATTTCTATACACAATCTTTTTGAGGCAATCCAGTTTCCTTGTTATGTTTGTAACATGCCTTGAAATGCATCCTGACTCTATTGTCCATCTCCAGCTCTACATTTTCAGGTGCCTGTATAGTAAAATTCCATTTCCTAGTACTAAAATCTGTACTATTTGTTGAGGTTTCCATAATAAAATGCAATGACTGAAATATCAGACATTAATTTTCTTGTATTTTCCAGAAGTCCAAGATGAAGGTGTTGACAGGGCTTGCTCCTTCTGAGTTCTCTACCCTTGACTTACAGATGGTCTATCTCTATGTCTTCACAGGCTATCTGCAGTGTTGTGTGGGTCCCAAACACCTCTGCGGACGTGATTAGGGTCCACTATCATAACCCTATTATTTTAACTTACTGTGTTTTTAAAGACTTCAACTCCAAATGCAGCTACACTCTAAGGTACTAGGTATTAGGTCTTCACAGAGGAGGTTTCAGGAGCTAAGCAACCTGGGGAGCAAGTTTTTCTTTCAGCTACTTCTTTCCCAGTCACTTCTCCTGCCTGAAGAGACATGCAGACCACTCACTGATCCTTAAGGTTTACTTTCCCAGAGGAAAAACTACTGAGGAGTTGTGTAAAAAGATTATCCCAGTATTTGGCATTGAGAGAGCAAAAAAACTCTAATACTGGGCTAATAATGTAGTAACTTTTCTATTTTTTCTTTCAATACACGAAGCACTTGCTGGTTGTCTTATTTGATTATCTTCACCAAAATGTGACTTGCCATATAATTTAAAAAACATTTAAAGACTTGAGTGATGCTACAGTAATAGAACTTCTTGCAATTTCATCTACTTACATGAATATATTCTCTCAGCTGTTATGTTACAGGGAAAGATGAACAGAACATACTAAACTGCATTTCATTCTATCAGTAAGTAACAACTAGACATGAAAATACAAATTAGTGGAAGAAAAAACAGCTATACTGATCTGATTATAAACTCTATTCCATAAGCATAGAATTTAAATTTAATAATTTATCTCAGAATCTCTAATAAGGCTATATTGTTTTGATCAAATGAGTGCTAATAACTCAGAAGGTGCTTTTCATGTTAGAACAAGACAGCCCAGAAAAATGACACTGCAATTTTAACCTACATGTACACTTTGTTAGAGAAGTTTGAGGAATAAGCTGCTGTGGGTATAAAATGAAAAGGAAAAATGAATTCAAAGAGAATTCAAAGAGAAGAGGAACAATATAAACGTTCAATTCTTAAGGGAATGGATTATGATGGTACTAAGTTACAGCGATAGTCTGTAATGTATATTTCTAAGTTTAAAACACCGTGTTTTAAAATATACTGCCAAGGGCAGTTTTTTGCAACTTCTAAAACTTTTGAAAATGGAGTAGATATGCAAACAATTTTCCAAGTCATCTAGGAATGGACAAGCTGAAATGTTTGAAAGCCTTTGTTATCAGGGATTCCAGCTTCTCCCTGAAACAGATATACTCAACTGCTCTGAACACTTCTACGCAATCTGAACACTTCTACGCAATCAGGAAGTGTGAACATGTACATTCTTTTGGCTAATATCCTTCACTAGAAAGAACACTCTTCTTTCTATCTTTTGGAGGGGGACACTATACATTCCCAAATTTCCGTATGTGCAACTATTTGATCATTTTCCTTAGGCGAAGACATAGGATTTCACAGTACGTTAATACATACATTACACAGTAAGCAGGGCATTAAACAGGCACCACTGTAGCTTCTAAAAATGATGGCAGAATTATCAATGTAAAGATCTAAATAGGTAGGGGTTCAGGCAGCTAGGAGCGGCTATCGGCCTGCTGCAGGACTTCAGTTCTTGAGCAGGGCAGGGAGAAGAAAGGGATCTCAGACACCTGGCTCCTCTCACAGAACTGTGTCTTCTGTAGGGTCCTTCTTGAGCCCAGAAGATAGGAATGGAATAAGAGGGCCACTCCAGGGTTTCTTTGGGAAGACTATCTGCAATCGGTTGTTTTAAAAACGAAGCTGTCTTTGCTTATCATGGTGACATACTCTTATAATCCCAGCATTCAGAAGGCTGAGGTAGGAGGATCATTTTGAATTTGATGTCAGCTTAGCTCCTTTGAGTTCAAGGGCAGAAAAGAATATTAAAGCTCTCCCTGTATTCTTCCCCTACTAAGCCACAGGCAGTTGAGTCATTTGTCAAATACTGTGCAATGTAATGAGACTCAACAGTGGCTAGCACAGTGATGGGGCTCTGTGGTCACTGACAGATCTCAAGGAAAAGTCAAGCCCAAGCTGAAACGTGCGTCAATCTTATTCAGACATAATGGTATTTACAACTTTTGCACGAATACTAGTTATTATACTCATCATTGTGCTAGGAGTTTCAAAATATTAAGAAGCAACTTTGTTCAATAGAATGTTTACTGCTACCCGTCTGCACAGAATTCAAATTCATTAAAATGTGTAATTGCTTAAGGTATTGACTGCCCAATATAAGAACTATTAAAAGTACCTTCATCAAAACATTTTGTTTTGTAGTACTGGGACTGAATCCAGGATTTGGGACTGAATCAAAGATTTTCTTGACAGGCAAGCACTCTACAACTGAGCTACACCTCTGCCTTCCTCAAAGCTTTAAATAAACCACAACATTCCAGGGGTTCTAAGTTTGGATAGAACTTCAGTTTTGTTGGTGGACTGAAGATAAGAGCACAAACATAAGAGCTCCTCCCTATCTTTCACAGTCTTTATTTTTCTCTTTTTTTTTGTTTTAATCCTTCTGTGGTATCTGTGATTTGCATCTCATTTTCTTTTGGAAATATCTGGGTATAATAATAGCATGACAATAATAACAATAATATGTAATAATAAATAGCAAGATAATGGTTTAAGACTGAAATCTGATCTCAGCAGGTACTTTCTTCTGATTTCACATCAGCAAGACCAACTGAGGAAGAGAAATAAATTCAAAGAGAATTGTACACTCTTACAGAATCTGAGTGCTACCACTCATGGCAAGTCACTAGTTATGACTTTTAATATACCAAATAGGAAGGGATAACCAGGAAGCCACTTCCATGGCAAACAATTTGGCTTCACAGGCCAGAGAACAGATATAAGTACAGCCCATGATGAAGGGCACAAGCCAGAATTTTTTACTATCTGGCAATCAACTATCTATCTCCTTTGTGGTCTAAATGACAAATATTCCAATAGCTGTTCTCACTTTGCAATATGATAAAGAATTTTATTTCTATTATATCTCTCTGATCAGAAACTTCTCTATCTTTTTACTACTACACATGGTAAAGAATCATAGACACAGTTTACAGGCCAAAAGGCTCTACAAAAAGACTCTACAGCACCAATAGATGTACTCCAAAAGGCTCATGAATGCATGGTGCTTGGGGACCAGTGATCCTGTGTGCCAAGTGGTGGGGAATCTGCAGACAACATGCCCTACACCTGCAGCCTGGGAGAAGTCAAGGGCTCTGTGAAGTAGACACGCACCCTAGAATTGCTAGGTCTAAGGAACAGATATAAATAACCTGGGATGTAGCAGAGAACATCCTCTTGCCAAAATCTGCCCAGGGAAGTGTGGTGAAGAGGTAAGCCAAATAAAAAAACATATGCAGAACACATTAGCAAGAATGGTGTCAGAAGTGACTGTCACAAGAACTCTGCATAACTCACCATAGCTGTGTTTATACAGCACTTTCTTCCTCAGAGTCGCTGACCTCATTTCCTGCCTCCCCAGACATCAGGAACCCCCTAGATGGCTGTGCAATGTTTCCCATGAATAATCTTCCTGGGACTCTGAGGATCAACCCAGCTGAGACACCCAACTGGCCCTGAGAGTTGGGACGCGGGGGGCAGCACCTCCCAGGTTGTGGTGTTTCTAGAGTTAGGGGAAACCATGCAGCTGACAATGAAGACACAGGCAGAGGATACAGGTTGATTTTAAGACTTGCAAAACATGAAACCACAGTGCACACATTCTTTCTGTCTTAAACAGATAGAGACAGTATTTTAGCCCTTTTGCTTTTTTGGTCAGTCCTTTTACTCAGAGGACTGTTTGGGGTTTAAAACTCTGTCACCAGTCTGCCATGTCATAGCCGCTCAAATATATATCACTACAAGGGTGGCTTATACCTTCCTAGTTAAAGAAATGTTTGCCTACAATTTAGTTTCCACAAAGCACTTTCCCAAAACCAGTGAATGTGGCCGGTACCTATCCCTGACCCACAGTAAGGAGAAATACAGGCTTCTGCATTTCCACAGCCTTTCCCTGTTGTGCCAGCTCATGATTCATTCAGCCATTCATTCACTCTATCCTACACAGATCACCCAAGGATGAGGTTCCTTCCAGAACAGCCTCAGATACAGGAAGGCCGCCCTACTCACATGTCCTCCACGGTGATGTCCTTCAGGATCTGGCAGTAATCCACGTTCCACACAGCCTGATCATCCCATACCTTGGAGGCCAGCAAGATCGCCCCTAGGACAATTCGCTTCCAATTGGCTGGACAGATATCTATCTCTGCATACGTTAGCAGTCTCTCCAGGTACACCTGTAAAGACAGGGAAGGCCAGAACTATGCTTTAGAGTTCTCAAACATTTATTATTCTGACAAAGTAGACACAACATGACATTTACATTTAATCATTTTCAGATTACTTGTGAGGCTTTGCAGCATCAAGATCACACTGTTCGGGAACCATCACCATCATTCAGCTCAGCATTTACCGTCATCTAAAACTGAAACTTAGTACCTGCCCCACGGTTTGCACTTTACCCTAACTCTTGAGCTCCTGACAACCACTGTAGCTGCTTTTTGTCTTGTTGAGTTTAACAACTCTAGGTACTTATACAGGTAAAATTATACAGTATTTCTCTTTTTGTGACTGACTTATTTCACTTAGTACAACAGCTTCAAAGCTCATCTATATTGCAGCACAAGCCAGAATTTCCCTTAATGTTTAAGAGTAACTGGCATTCCTTTGGCTGTACATGCCCACGCAGCTGTCCGTGGGTATCTGAGCTGCTTCCTTCCTCTGATTGCTGTGAATCATGCTGCTATGAACACTACCGTATACATATCTGGGCAAGTCCACGCTCTTGCTCTTGAGTTCATACTCAAAACAGAATTCCGAGCTGTTATGATAATTCTGTGTTGAAGTTTTTGAGAAGCCACACTTTCTTCCACAAGCAGGTACATACTTTTATATTCTAACAATGGTTAAGGTTTCCAATTTCATCATATCCTCAACTCTTATTATTTTCTATGTTTTTTGGAAGGGAAGAAGACTGGTCATTCCAATTGGTATGAAGTGATATTTCACTGTGATTATCATTTACGTATCCTATTTTCAAATAGATAAAATGAAACAAAAATAATACAGGGTTTTTTAAAGTGACAAAATTTAGTTTAAAGACAGTCATCAGAAGTAGCCATGAAGCCCACTGCTTAAGCTGGGTCTCAAGGTAAGAATGCCTTTACTTTCACACAATAAAAATCTATTTATTAGAATGTTTAAACACTTTTTTGAGTCATCTTATAGTTTTTATCAGATACACTTGCAAAGTAGAACTCTGAATGAAAGAAAACCAAAATTCAATGATATATTTTAAGAATCTGCTTTCTAAAACAGATAAAACTTATTAGTGTTATAATTACTCATAGAAAATAATGTCTACAAATCTTCAATATGACAAATACAAAAAAAGGACTGTGGAAAGGAAAATATTAAATACATGAAGTACAGGTTATTTCAGTTAAATGGCATTCATAAATGGGACAGAAAAGGTTTAAAGGGTGCAAACAGGGACTCACTGGGGCTTTGGGAAAGAGGCTGGACTTAAGGAGGTCTCTGGGACAGAGAGTTATTTAACACTGGCCGAGAGAGAGCTCTTCAATGATGTGAATCCATATGCAGCAGCACAGGGTATGCCTGTCTTAGTTACTTTTTACTGGTTGCTGAGACAAAATACCTGATGTCCAAAGTTGGGAAAGGAAAGGCTTATTTCTTACAGTTTTTGGAGGTTTCAGTCCATACCCAGTTGGCGCCAAGGCAGGGTGGCATGGCAGGGCCACAGTTCATGGCTGAGGCAAACAGCAAGGGAGAAACCCACAAAAGAGCGAGACACGCCTTCTTCCTGCCATTACATTACATGCTGGCTCCACCCCTAGGTGGGTGTAGCACTGACACCATCAATCCAAGCTAGACAATGAACCAGTCACAAATGTACAATGCAAATGCCTGAGGCCTGGGGGCCACCATCATAACCCATGACAATGCTAGAAGTAGACTCTAACTATATAACAAAGAGTTCACAGGATAAGAACGGGTGAGAGGCACATTCTCAAGTGACCTTGAGCACCACCTGGTAAGTAGGCATGACCACTGTGAAGCAGGTGCTGGGCTAACTGTGGCTGTAAAGCAGAAGGGGCCCTGGGACAGAGAGAACCAACATCTGAACTGGTGATGTGACGTGACAGTGAGAACACAGGCATGCTCCAGACACCTACTTGAGTTGGTCTCACTGGCCAGAGAAGGTGGCTGCTTTGGGACAGCCCGGGCTTCCAACTGGCACTGCTGGATGGTGCTGCCTCTGACACAAGGTACACAGGAGGAAGAGGTTGTGAAAAATGAACAGAGGTCTGATTTTAGTAAGTAGGTAATGAAATGGGAAACTTCGAGTCTCTCAAATTAGTCTAAGGAACCATACTGCTGCATGTATCTCAGGATAGTTTTACTGCATTCTTATCTGTCTTAACCCTTAGTAAGCCCCAAGTTCCCTGATTAACAAACAACTTGTCTTACTGCACAATGCCAGGACTAAGTGATACTCCATACAGGCCTGCTCAACCAACACATGCTCCCACAGGAATGAGCCAAGGGTCATCCACAGAGGACCCACCAGGGCAAGTAGCTCAGCAGAAACCTAACAGATTTCACTAAAAATGGCCAAAACAATAACTTGCATTCAAGGAGAAACTGTACTGACTTACTGGTTTATGAGACAGGTGTGGAGAGAACATAAAAAGTCCAGAGTGGGGCAGCTCCAGGAAAAAGAGTCACTCTGCTGTGACAGGGCCTGGAGTAAGGCCCAGGAAAGCATGAAGGCAGCATTCCAACTGCACCATAAGAGTCGCTGTGGGAGGCTCCACATGTCTCTTATTGACAACAACAGCATTTGGCTGTGACAACTACTGGATCAAATATAAAATACATCACTCAATAGAGCTCAATAACCTGATCAATTTTTGGAGATTCGAGCTGTTAATGGCATTAATTACAATAAATTGGAGAGAGCACGTTAACATCTTACATAATAATTTTTATTTGTGCAAAAGATCATAATTCTTCAGACAAAGACAGAGTGGCACCAAGTGGGATTTCAAATGGGCACTGAACTCAGGACCCCAGAATGCAGATTTACAAAGGCTGATGACAAACTCTTCTCATTCTCCACCAAGGACAGAATCAAAACACAAACAGTAAAATTGGAGTGAGAAAACAGTTGAGACTGGTCCTAACTAAACACCAAATCTTTAACCGCTAGGAAAAAGAGACTGTGAACAATGTTCTACTAGATCCTGAGAACTCTTTGTACGTGAGGAAAAGCTCTCAAAAGGTAGCTGCTTGATTTCGTCCTCTCTTAAATTACTTTAGTTAAGAGTCACAGATAATTGTTAATGCTTGAAAAAGCTCACCCAATATTCATCTACCACGTGATAGCCCATGAGTGTTAACTGAAGGAATGGGACATTACATCACACCTCATGGCAGAGGAAAAGCAATTGTTTGTTATAATGGGAAATAAGGTACTTATAATAAGGTCTATTTAATAGTTTGCAATTTAGCAACACATGCCAATAAAGCTAAATTCAAGGGTCAGTTGCAATCTCTTTAGTAAACTCCCACTTGGGTATTTTAATTTTCTGCCAAGAAAAATAATGTACAATTGGTTTTCCTAAGTAGTATCCCTAGACACTGCTAATGGGACATTCTAGTACAATTAAACTCATGCATTTAACTTCATGAAAGACTGTTTTAAGAAGTCCTTTTAGAAAATGGAGGTTAAAATACAAATACAGAGTACTCATTTGGTTACAAAACTGCAGAAAGGTATTTGGGGTGGAGGATAAAATGCAAACTCATAGAAACTCAAGCCCATAAACAAAATCAGAATGACTCTGAAATTATTCCTGTCTGATTTTATGGAACTATGCTAGGTTAGTTAACTGTCTAAATCCATACAAGGTACAAGTTCCTTCTGTGTTTTAACCCTGTTGTCTTACAGTCATTGGGTTCAGCTAATTACAACAAGTTCCAGTGAGGCTTAGGACAAGAGTATAGGGTGAAAATTTTGTAAGAAGAGTTGGCAGTGTCAGTCCATTCCCAACTGTACCTTAACTCCAAGTTGCCATAATAAGGGATACTATTTTGGGATATGAGAATAATTATCCAAACCCTCAGCATTCAACAAAGCTCTATCAATTGCTACTTTTGTAGCAAAAGTTATTTTGTAGTTTTTTCCAGTAGCCTGAACTATACATTTACATTATGAATATGTCAGTAAGTTACTGGTATCCCTAAGATCTTCATAAAATACATGCATGAATTCATCAATATCCTGTTGTTGTGTCATTTAGTGAACTGCATTGCCCAGAATTCACAGGCTGAATTTCTAAACCCCAATACTCAAGACTGTGACCTTATTTAGAGATAAAAGTTTTTGTGGTGCTGATCAAGTTAAAATGAGGTCCTAAAGTTATAATGGTGGGCCTTAATCACGAAGGACTGAGGTCCCTCTGTGAGACAGACACACTCATACAGGGAGACACCATTCAAGTACAAAGATAGGCATCAACACTGAGCCAAAGAGGCCTGAAACAGACCTTTCCATCACAGGGCCCAAGAATGAAACAGCCCTGCCACTATCTTTATTTTAGATCTGGCCTCTATAATGGCAAGATAATAAACTCCTTTCCCTTTCTTCTTTCTCACTTCCTCTCTTCTCCTTTTTCATTTTTTGAGATAGAATGTTGCCCGGACAGGCCCAGAACTACTGGATTCAAGTGATCCTCTTTCCTCAGTCTTCCAAGTAGCTGGAACCACAGGCACATGCCACCACACATAGCTAAACTTCCATTATTTAAAGCTATGTAGTTTGTGGTACTTTGTTATTGCAGCTTGTCCCAAGACTTGTGATGCTCATTCCCTTTTCCTTAAAGCAAAACTGACAAGTCGTAAGTTTTATTTGACATCTAGAGATTCTACTAAAAAAATCTTAAGAACTTTCGTAAATAAGTCCAGGATTCTGCTCTTCAGACACTGGAGGGTCCCAGTCCCACATTTCTACCTGGAAACGACTGGCCACCATGCCCACCTCAAACATTACTGAGGGCCCCTGTGCAACTTTTCCACTCTTCCCACAAACACATTTTGGCATATGCACTCAGCATTTGTCATCGGAAACACCTCTCTCTGCCCTTTGCTCGGTAACAACAGATCTGTGCGGCTCAGAAGTCATTTCAATCATCTACCTACAGTCATAGCAGCA